TAACCGTACTGGTTCTAACCATTTATTGGAGAAATCTGCAAGAACCTGTGATGACCCAGGGCAGAGCACAGACATAAGACAAACAGCTGGCTGTTCAAACAGGCCCTTTGGTGCTCCAAATCTCCCCCAAAAAAACCTCAAACAGACTCTAGTCGCAATTAGTCCAGCTTAGTGCTGTCTGCACCAAGGATGCACAGCAATTAATCCCAAATTATAAATTTATGACGGCAGTAGCTTACAAAGAAAACCTCTATAAAATGTTTCATAGATGGCATTTGCCTCCAGCAAGATTGGCCAAAATGTACCCAAATTTATCCCCCAAATGTTGTAGATGTAGCCACAAGTCTGGAACTTTTTACCATATGTGGTGGACGTGCCCCATCACAAGGAAATACTGGTGCAAAATTCGGAAATGGTTGGAAGAAATTACAGAGTGAAAAATAGAACTGAAACCAGAAGCATTCTTGTTAGGACTAATAGACCAAAAAATGAATAAACAATCTTAATACATAATCATACACATACTCACTGCAGCCAGGATTGCTTTCACACAAAACTGAAAAAAATAAATACACCCGCAGATGAAATAATAATTAGCAAAGTACTCGAATGTGCAGAGATGGTCAAAATGACAATAGAACTAAAAGAAAGAGAAGAATCTGGAGAGGAGGGGCTGATGCTGTGACGAGACGACATGCGATCTCAAAGCTCTGAGGTCGCAGTCAACACTTTTATTGCTGGGGGGTTCCAACGGACCTAAATCATCCCGAAGAGATGGTGAACAGGAAGATTACATCTTGCTGATCGCGGGGATATTGCAAAATAAAAATTCCGGTCTGTCAACACTGACAAAGTCAGGGTGACTCCAGAAAGGAACGGAACAATATGGAAATAGAAAGTGATACCAGCTGGTGAGAAACATTTATTGTTTTAAAAAACAGACGGCCTATAAAATCTAAAAACTAATTTAAATCAAAGAATAGAAGAACTTAGTGGCGAATTTGATTTTTGTAATGGTTCTGGACTGTGGTTATCTTACCTTTTAAATGTTATTTACATGGATTATCCCTTTAACATTTCTCTGTGACTCTTTGTAAGACACAGATGGATTGCTTTGACTTCGACCTTCTAAGATTTTATTGTGCGGCTGTTTGGCTTAAGATCTGATAAGATTTTACAGCTGTCCCTTTGAAGTCTGTTTTCGCTTGCAGAGAGTTTGCAAGTGAGTGTTCCAATCTTGCTGAGCTTCTAAGAAAAAATATAACTTCGTATAAACATGGTTTCTCTCCAAGAAGTGCTCTTAGCTCTGGAGAGGGTGTTGGAGACAAAGGAAAGAATTGAGAGAAAAGTGGATTATTTGGTGCNGTTACGACGTCCTAGGCCCCTGGGTGGGGCCCGACTAGTAACCAATGCCAAATCCGGCGAAACAACTGGCCGCTGTGATACAATTATGTTGTTGCAATAATAATAATAATAATAGCCTTTATTGTCATTGTACATCATGCAATGCATAATAGAAAATACAAGACAACATGAATAGTATACAGTAGTGATGGTGAACTTTGTGGCATCGAGTCGAACCTCTTCAGCACTCCCGACACCATTGCCAGGGCCGTAACCTGGAAAAGGAGCTGGCCAGGGGCGCCCACACCGGAAAATGGAAGACCAGCTCTTCCAGTTTCCAGCATTGCTGCACGCAAAAAGGCCAGCTGATTGTCACACACACATGCGCACCAGATACCCAGAATAGGAACGGGCGACACCACACGTGCCAGGAGACATGACTCCATATACCACTTTGGACATGCATGCCACATGTTTGCCATCACGGGTATAGAGAATAATCCTTATACAAGTAATTTGGGGGGGGGGATATGTATGTGAGTGATTGTGATTGTGTTTAGGAGTCTGACAGCCCATGGGTAGAAGCTGTTTTTAAACCTGTTTGTCTGGCTAGCTATACTTCGATGTCTTCTGCCCAATGGTAAAAGTGAAAAGAGACACTAGCCAGGATTATAATACACAAATTAATACAGTGGTTCAATGTCATATATTATTTCTAATACATATCTCTAAGTAGTTTAGAAATTAAATTAAGCAAAGTATGAACATTTTAATTCCCATAAAACATCAATTGTTTTTATTTTATTTCATACAATCCCTGTTCTCCCTCCACCCCAAGTCATTTGAATGCGAGGTAAACTCAAGATGGCAGCAACATTCAGAGTTTTGTGTATCCGGTGGTCATCTAGAATTTTGCAGCTCAGATACAGAAACTTTAAAACAGCTTGTTGAATTTTTGTTTCATGACTCTAGTTCCTATTATGATCACAAGAGGCCACTAAAATCCTTGCTTCTGTTGACAAGCACTCTCCATACAGTACAGTACTATACTTTCAATCTCGTAGGAGAATTCATCGGGGAAGTGTTTTCTGGACAGGTCACACAAATATAATTCGCTTGCATGAATTAAATCACTACTTACTGAGTAATTCCTTATACCACTGTAGAACCATCTAAAGATGGCCTAAAGGTAGTTGGGACATGATGGGATAATATGAACTGAACATAAGGTTAGGGTTTTGTCTATCTTAGCTAAGAAGTATGAAAAGCTAAAGGCCAACCAATGCTTTTGGAGGCAGGAAGTTAGGGGAAGCCTTCACCATTCCTCAAGTATGAATCAACACAATTTAACTAACTTTAGTTAGCAATACATTGTTCTCAATAGAGGTGGAGATAGCATCCATGCATGGGTTGACATTGTCCTCCTCCTGATTGGACTGAGTCTGATAAAAGTTAGTTAAGACACGCCCCTTGTTGCTAGCCTTACCCAGCTTTCTGACTCAGTCCACTTCATGGATGGTCGTGTATCTCCTGAGCACTTATCTGTGATAAAATTCATTGAGTTATTGATAGGAAATTGATTGTTGGTGATTACTCCGATTGGCTGTATTGGAATTCCACCTTAGCCAAATTGGTCTGGGTAGACTGGAGCGACAAAGACTTCTAAGCCTTTGAGGGACATCACCCTACGCCTTCCCCAAGTGGGAGAGAGTGCAGCGCTCTTTGAAGGGTCACGAAGTGTGTCCCAGACCCTGCTTAGTGACTGGCATGCCTCCCCGAGCAACTGGACTTTGCGTTCCTTGGAGGCTTGGCTTCTGACCGCATGAGTGTGCCTTGGCAACGCCGTTGCTTCTCTCACCCTAATAGTGACCACGCTGCTTCTGGAGCNTGCTTAATACATCCTCATTATTATAAACTTTTATTAATCACACATGAAACTCAGTTAACTAAACATTTAAAAATGTATCACAAATATCATTGACTGGCTCTGATTATTGATAAGGGTTGCTGCCAGCGTCCTAGTTATCATCCAAGTATCTTCTTACATTATATGTTGCTCCAAGTTGTTGTTGTATTTTGTTGTTGTTGTTATTATTATTTCTTTTATTCATTAAGCATGAAACTCAGTCAAGTGAACAAAATGTGACACAAATTTCATTGACTATTGATTCATTTATTATTGTTATTGTTATTATTTGCCCAATATATGGAGTCCTTAGTGCTGTCTGAACTTGTTGGTTTCCTTGCAGACATTTCATTATCTGACTAAACAACTTTAGAGCAGAAAGGAGGTTAGGTTAAGGTTTATTCAACTTGTATACCGCCCTATTCCCAAGGGACTCAGGGCGGCTAACAAACCAAAAGGAGGGGAAATACAAACAGAACAGAAGACAAACAAAATTAAAAACAAAACAACAATCACAACAGTTTGTGAACTCGTCAGCCCCAGGCCTGCTGGAACAGCCAGGTCTTAGTGGCTTTGCGGAAAGCCGGAAGGGTTGTGAGGGTCCGGATCTCCATGGGGAGTTCGTTCCAGAGGGCCAGAGCAGCCACAGAGAAGGCCCTCCCCAGAGGGGACGACAGACGACATTGGCTAGCGGATGGTATTCGGAGGAGGCCTAATCTGTAGGATCTAATTGGTCATAGGGAGGAGCACCAAGGACTCCACCATTCAACCTTGAGCTACAAGGATTTCTCTTCTATTGATGCCTAGATATTTTTTTTCCTTCACCTGCCCATAGAAGCCAATATCAGTTGCTTTTTAATCTTGAAAGGTTTCTACTTGTATTTGAGTTTCTGATTGTTGCCATGTCCACCTGACAGATGATGAGATCTTTGCGAATTCACCTTGCACTGGTTGGCATAGAAATTTGGAACAATGGAGATAAGATTAACGTGCAGGAATCAAAGGATGCCACTTTGAAGTCATTTGAAACATGGAGAGAAACAGATTTGCTGCCACGCAAAGGGAATGATAATGCTCAATTACTCACGTACGTCTCATTGTGGGGAAAGGGAGAGGGATGTCTGGGAGTGGAGTATTATGGGAAGATTAGTGCTTGTACAGCTTTTCCACTCTATGCTGTGTACTTTAAACCATATGTGAACTATATCTCTGGGTCAAAGTCAATTGCTTTTTTTAGATGAGAGCTGGTTTTGAGAAA